GGTTAGAGTCTTATTTACCTATTTGTTGTAGGTTTTTTTTTTTTAAATATTTTAAAAATTTTAAACAACTGCCTGAACGTCCCTCAATTTCAAGCGTAATATCTCTATTTCCTTACTTACAGAGGCTTTATGCTGATTCCCAGTCTTCTAAGTGGTTCTCCTGAGATATTACTAACCTTGAGAGATTATAAGACACTTTCCATAGTGCCCACCCAGCCACAATCTTTACAGCCCATTTATTCAATGAAGACTTCGTATTTTTGCAGAATGCTTCAAACCTTTTACAAGCATGTTCCAGTGCATTTTTCCCCTTGAAAAGAATCATGTTCCCATGGGCGCAGACCTTGGAAGGAGGGTTGGTTCCTCCGCCAGTTTCCTGGCTTTTCAACGTAAGTTTCCCACTCTCCCTATTCCCTGGAGTGTTCATTCTGTCAACAGGCTGCAATCCTGTTGACAGAAGAGCACAAATATTCTGTCCAACTGCTGTATACGGCTCAATCCAAATGACCTAGGTTGCCTGCATTCTCCACCAGTATATGTTACCTGCGGAAAACTAGGGCACCCTGCCTATACCCTACCGAGGGCTTAAGGCGTGCCTGGTCAATTTAGGACACTCCACCTATACCCTACTGAGGACGTAAGGCATGACCCAATCAATTTAGGCCCCCCACCCCACCCTTTCCCTTGGGGCTCAAGATTTAAGGCACCTCTTCTTACCCATGGGACTTAGGAAGAAACTTGGTCAATTTAAGAGCTTAGGGCTCTACGGGTCTGCGGAAACTTTTCCCAGTGAAAGAGCCTTACACAGTTGCTAATAAATAGGTGTTTAAAGCACAACGCACACAGAATATATGTACCAAGCAAATCTCTTATGCTCACCACTTCCAATAAACAGACAAATTTCACCCGATGGCCAGTGAAGGTTTATTTATTTGGGGGTTCCCGGCAATGCCTCTGCACATCACGGTCATGCCAAGTTCCAGCAGCTTGATGTTGAACTGCAGTCCGGAAATGGTTCCCAAAAAGAATTGTTTTTCATTTATATTATATAGGTAAAACTAGCTTTCTTTTTTAAATGTATTAAACCTACTACATTATTCCACACTCCTAAATAACAAAAATTTTAACCAGTCAGTCACTGGCACCTATGTCTCCTTTTTTTGCCCGTTTTTTACTTTTTATTTTTTATACCCAAACTGTAACTTAATTGTGACCTTTTTTATTTGTGCAGGCGGTCAGCATAAAATGCTGGTTAGAGCTTATTTTACAACCTTGGTGGTTATAACTTTTGTTAGGGACATTTCTGAGGTGGGGGTGCTTTATTACCAGCAAAAAATTTTTTTTTTAATTTTAATAATAAATTCCCTAAGTTTCACCCAAGGCTGGTTTACTATGGGGTGGGGTGGGGGTTAAGTAAGTCTCAGGCCTACAGCACAATGAGACATGTACGTGTGGATAGATGACCTGGTAGCAGCTCTACAGATCTCTTGGATTGGTACCTGTGCCAGGAAGGCCACTGACGATGCTTGTGCCCTAGTCGAGTGTGCCATCATGATTGCAGACGGAGGCATCTTCTCAAGCTCATAGCAATAATGGATGCAGGCCATGATCCAGAATGAAATCCTCTGAGCAGGCACTGGGCGACCTTTCATTCTGCCTAGCATCGCAACAAACAACTGCATTGACTTACGGAATGGCTTTGTTCTATCTATGTAGAAGGCCAGCGCCCTCCTGACGTCCAGGGTGTGTAGCCTGCACTTCTCATCTCTACGTATGAGGCTTTGGAAAGAAGACAGGTAAGTATATGTCCTGGCTAGCATGAAACTGGGAGATGACCTTGGGCAAAAATGCTGAGTGGGGTCGCAGCTGGACCCTGTCCTTGTAGAAGACCATATAGAGCGGTTCCAAAATAAGTGCCTGATTTCGGACACCCTACAGGCTGACGTTATCGCGACCAGGAACGCAACCTTCTACAAGAGAAGCAGGAGACAGCAGGAAGCCAGAGGCTTGAAGGGAGGCCCCATGAGTCTCGACAGCACAAAATTCAGGTCCCCACGGACGGATGGAATCCCGGACTAGTGGGTAGAGATGCTCCAGAACTTTCAAAAACCGGGATGTCATGTCGTGAGCAAAGATCGAACTGCCTTGGAACGGAAAGTGGAAAGCTGAGATAGCGGCCAGGTGGACCTTGATTGATGACAGAGACAAACCTTGGAGTTTGAGGTGCTGCAGTTAATCCAGGATCTCCTGCAGTGGGGCCTGGATACTCCGTTCTGAGACCCAGCACGTGGACCTTTTCCATTTGGCCAGGTAAGTCGCTCTGATGGAGGGTTTTCTGCTACCCAGCAAGACCTGCTGAACATGGGCCAAGCATTTCCGTTCATCCACGTTTAGCCATGCAGTAGCCATACTGTCAAGTGCAGCACCGCCAGGTTCGGGTGCAGAAGACTGCCGTGGTTCTGGGACAG